CCCCCTTTTAGGTTATTTTAGGGTTAGGAACTCCGTAGACATATCATCGATTGCTTTGAAACAGCGATCTGTATATAGCAGAACAGTTCCCTCTCCAATTCCTGCTTGGCATGCAATATCTTCAATGGATGCCCCATTCCCAAACCGTCCCATTTGATAGAGTGTGACCACCAGTTGGGTCTGAACAGGTGCTTGGGGATTATTTGAATTGTTATGAAAAACGGGATGAGTTTGAATAAGAGTGAGGATGATATTGAAGACATATGGAGATACCCGCAGCATCTGTATAAATCATCCATGATCCCTGTGATCTTTCTGGTACTCCCATGCCAGATGTAGATTTCCGAGGCGTAAAACGCGTTCACATCCGCGCAAGTATTGAGTTGTCCTGATTGCCTGAAGTATCTCGATGTCAATGTTAAGCTGTTGATATATTGCCTCGAGACTCTCAAGCGGTGTGAATGCCTCTCGGAGGGCAGCAAACAGTGCATATGAGTGGATGTATCTATCATGCAGTGGTTGGTTAGGCATTATATCATGCAGAAGAAGTTAGGATTCCCCAAAACATGCTCATAGGTAATTGCAATCGTATATCTGAGTGTGACATTAGATAAGCAGGAGACATATACGTATTTTCTCGTTTTTGCATCTGGACTAACATTTTCTTCAGCGCCTAAATCCACATCTGCGCCGCAGAACTTTCTGCGAGCCCAGCTGCGTCAACTTTGAACTTCCCTAGTATATAATGCGGGAGCGGGCAAAAGACGACTTTGGTATTCAATCACTTCTAGTACGATGTCTAAGGTCGACTTTACGGCCTTGTTCTCCAGCCTGACCGAAAGCGTCTTGACCACTAGCCGTCCGCTAGGAGAATCCGAGTTAAGCTATGCCGTGCCACGCCAGAGCAGCGGCTTCAACGACTCCCATACCATCGTTCCTCTCGACATTCCAGCCGGTCATCCAATCTATGACGAGGAGGTCATTCTCGCCACTGCGGTGATCCGCCTCCGCCATCCCTTACTTGCCTCTCGAGTTTCGTTTACAGGAGCCGTCCCGCACTTTGTCTGCGATACGCCCATCACCGAAGCCTCCGCAGTCCACAATGCGAAGAGCACGATCGCTTTCAGCACATTCCGGGATAGGAATGCGGAGGCCGCTGCGCTCCAGGTGCAGTACGTGAACCCTGATCCCCGCCATGTTTTCGACATTCGGTCCACTGTATACGCTATCTCTTGGTCGAAGGGGGTCGGCATTGCCGAGGGCCAATACATTCTTGGGATGCAAACCACGCACTTCGTGGCGGACGCGCGGATCCGGATGAACGTTGTCCGTCATCTATTGGAGCTGCTCTCGAGTCCTGGTCGAGCGCAAGCGGAATTGGCGGCTTTTTTTGCTCTTCCTCTCAAGCCCTTGCAGATTCCGGAGCCGCTTGAGAAGCTCATACCAGACATCGACCCGGCCGAGTATGCGAAAGGGAAGCAAGCCTTTGATGAGTTGATGGAGGGGTCGTCGAAGGTGTGTTGACCCTAAAACGTCACCTTCATTCGCATACTCACCTGCGTTCGGATTTCACAGCCTCTTCATGGGATTACACTTCAAGTTGATGGCGCGATTGGCAAAGCCATGTTCAAGCCAACCCTTCTTCATCACGCCTGGTCACCTTCAGAGAGCGCAAAGATCCTTCGTGCCTGCAAGGCTCGTGGTGTCACAGTTACACACGTCTGCACTGCCGCCATGGCTATAGCGTGCATTCAAGATGCCACGACTCCAGAAGCTCAGCAGAATGCAACCGACGACGATTTATATTTCAACGCCTCGCTTGCAATGGACCTTTCGTCGCGTTTTCAGCCGACAACAAACAGCACCGAATATGAAACCGCGACTCGCATCGGAATGTTAACGATGTTCATTCATGCTCCTCGATCTGCCGCGAGTTCTGCAGACCGTCTCTCGGCGCTGTGGTTATTGGCCGGACAATGTAAGAAGATCTCGAGCGCATTTACACAGTCCCCATACTTGTGGACATTTCTCAAGGAAGCGCGGGAAGTCATTGTTAAAGGCTACTACACTCGTGTTGCGGGTCAGCCCTATGTACCCTTCATCACCAGCATGGGCGATTGTACCAAGGTCCTGCCTCAACGCTACCCCGTGGAATCCTCAAATACTACTGGACATTCGACGTCGCATCGAGAACTCGTTGTTGTGGACCTATTAGTGGGAACCAAGGCTGATTTAAATACTGACGTTATGCGGTTGTGGACGTATGATGGTAAATTGCACTTGCAGTTCGGCTATGACAGCTCGCGTCGCAACCCCGACTCAGTGATTCTATACTTCCAACGTGTGTCTGAGACTTTGACTCTGATTGGATTGGAGGAAATGCCATAGGAAAATTGACCAATTAGAACGCTTTGTGGTATATTTTACCATGCAATTTAGTTGGGTACTTTGGAACCGGGAATGGCTGTCGGGGGATCTCTTCCGTTGCTACTGTAGGTTGTATGTATGGGTCAAATTTCTAAGATACATCTCGCGTTAGTTGGATTTCACGGTACCGCCTGTATGTACATGTACGAACAAATGTTGTGATAAGAGCCGAGCCATACAATCACACTAGATGCTGGGCACCAAAGGTCGGATCGACTTCGGACTGAAGAACGACGAATAACTAATGAGCATCTATCAACAGTCTTGCTCGCGCCGCGCGGCCTCAAACTCATGGTCAGATGTTTCGAAGAGACCGCGACGCCTTTCATTGATACTAGGGCATCAGGGATAGATCGCTCGGCATGCAATTTGGACACTTCGAAATCTATCAGGGTTTATTTGCCCTATTCGGCTACCGGAGTCGTGTATAAACAATTGTATTCCCTTATTGTAGTTTGCTCGCATAGGTGGAGTCATGGGCACAAGTCATCAATTCATAAATGTACACAGATGCTCACACTTCTTGAGGATACATACTAATCTACATCGGTGAACCTTTGAGATCAGTAAACCAAATATTCATCCAAACAGGTGACCATACCGTCAATTAAGTGTTCGCTCTTGTTCCAGTTTCCAACTTCGGTCTTCAGCGCAACGTCTGCCCACAACTGGTTCTTGTGCTCCAGCTTGAAAGTAATCTTCCCAGTGGCGATGCGGTGGACATTGACATTCAGGGTGAGGCCGTCTCGGACGTTTCCGTGAATCTTGCCGATTTCACGCTTACCGATGATAGGAATAATGAGGTTAACGACGATGTCGACGTCCAGGTCCTGGCCATTGATGCTACCGCTTATCTGTGTGAGGGAAGGCGTCAGTGACAATCCATGAGTGCAATGTACCATCGGGACGTACATCAAGGTAATTGTATAGGATCACGTTGAACGGAATGGTATTGTGCTGGGTCACACCTCGAACGACGACCTTGTTGCTATTTGGAACATGCTCGCCAATCACATTCTTGAGCACTGACGAGAAGGCATTGTAAGAATTTGCGAGAGAGAAAAATGAGGAAAAATGACAAACCGTCGATGTGGGCGCTGTCGGGATGCTCAGGATGGACAACGTGGTCATCCCCAGGAGGGATTATGTGGTCCGGCTGAGGATGGGCGTCATGTCCTTCCTTGGGATTGCCGTGAGCGATGTTACTAGGAGACATGTTAAGCAGCAGAAGTATTTACGATGCGGGAAGTAGAATGTGGATCGTGTTCTGCTATGCAATGGTCTCTGCCATGGTCAGCCCAGCCTTTTATTCTCAGATACGCGCTTTAGGCTTCAGGTAGAAGGGGTTAAACATGTGCTCGCAGAAGCACCCATATGTTGAGTGCGCCAATTCGTCATTCCGGTCGGAAGAAACGACTGTCAAACGTTATTGAGTACCAGCCGCCTCTGAAAATCAAATCTACTTCTGCCGCTCGCTAGCGTTTCCTGCGCGCGCAAAGCGGTCGCAAGGGGGATTTCCCTCATTCAGTTCATACTGGACTTGGCGTAGTGAGATGCATTTGACTAGCGAATTAGAATCACAAAACAGGATTTTGGTATAATCAAGAGAATCTGATCATCCTGAGAGAGAAATAACACTCACTCTTTCGACACGAAGGCTACATCAAATAGGACGGAATCATATAGCACTGGCAAGATATTTCACCTTAGACGGAAGGTATCATCGAAGACACAAGTTCCGGCGCCTATCTTGGGAACTAGTCCAACCGCGACCACGAGCGTCCGAGGCTTCAGGATCGTCTTGTCCATGGTTATAAGCCGCGCTTAGCTTTACAAAGTAAATAGGAGGACGCAGAAAACACTAATTAGGCTTCACATGTATCGAGCTAGCCTTCTCCGACACGATCCGTCGCGAACTCACACATACGGTGCCGTATGGTACCGGATACGGTCGCCACGATAGACAACTCAATCCGAGAAGCATACACCGAGAGCACACGTTTTAGATGCATCAGTACGCTAAACTTTCAGGCTCCACTCATAGTCTAGAATAACTAAAACATCTTGAGAACACTAGGCTGCAATGAACACTCTTCACAGAATGTAGCCTGTGAGTATAAAGCAACTACTGGTAGCGCCTCGATACGTCGAGCTAGCTCAAATAACGACCTTGGTTCTTTGGGATGTAAAGCGGACGGTCTTCCTAGGGCTGGCCAGCTATCTTGAAATACTAGCAGGTTGAGTCGTGTCAGGGTATTACCGCGGCGGCAGAAGAAAAACCGCGTGACATTTGCTGAAGTTAGGATGATACTAGTATGCAGAAGATTATCGCGAGAAAAGATTACAGTAGTATACAATAAGCAAAAAGCAGGTAATGGTGATCAAACTGAGCAAGTCAGTGCCGGCGCCTAACGTCCGCGCATCTCGAGTTATCAGTTATATGCAAGAGTCTTACTTGCTAAGTAGAGCTTGAAATGATACTCATTTCGACTTGACATCTCTGAACATTCCACGTATACTCAGGATCAATACTACGCAACGCTGGGGTCTTGAAAGATGATGCGTACCGAGCCCCTGCCTTTTTTAATCGCATACTAGCGATACCGAGGGGCGGCCCTAGCCTGTAGTATGACTTGACCATTCAAGCTCGTCTAAGCTGCATATTTGGGTGTTATAGCGGCCACTGCATGCATCCAGACATTGATAGAACGCGCAATATTAAATCAGTACGCATGAGCAACAAACGGGTCTTGTGCTTTGAACGGCTCTCTGTACTAGGCGCAGGCTAGAGTTGATGAGCTTGCTTCTAGTGTTCGTCAGGCCTAGACATGATGATAAATTTTGGAATTTAGGTATCCTCATCAGGCTCCGGATTGCGGCATGCGACCAGCAGACGTGTTTTGATGTCATCGTGCAGCGTCATTGTATACGGATGGCGTGTAAATGGGGATAAAGCCGTGTTTTCAATGCAGATCACGCGTCCCCCTCCCTATGGAGTACCTCATCCATGGAAAACAAATAGGTATCATAAACATACACGTGTAGCAGTACAAGTCGTGCATACAAGATCATCCAAGTCGTTACAAGTCGCAGATCTAGGTAAAAGCAGTAGTACACTTCATTTCCGTCTTCCGCATCATCTCATACGCTGCACTAGAAGTCATCCTCCCCTTCATCTTCATCCCAATCCACACTCTCCAACGCTGCCTCTCCCTCGTCATGCAGCTTATCCAGCCCCGACAACGCCTCAAGATACCCCTGCTCGTTGAATGCCTTCAACAGCATCTCAAAGCCCTGCTCCTCGTACGCTCTGATTATCTACACAAATATCACATCGTCAGAGCTCATGAAAGGAATGAAGCGATCTTGGAAGATATGCACCATTTCGCTGCACCCTGTGCACCGATCGAACGCCGCTCCCGTAATCAGTAGGTTTCTGAACTGCGCGAGGAACCCTCGGAGCTGATGCGGCACTATCCCCAGTACGCTTTCGGACGCCTGTGCATCGCCTGATGTACCGGATCCGCTTTGAGGTGGTGGCGCGGGCGCGTTGATACTACGAGGCTACCGTTAGTTTCCGAAGAGAGCCTCGCGCGTCGGAAGAGCGGAGGGGAAAAAAGAGAAGACTCAGACGACATACCCCTCTGGATGTTGAAGCAACGACACGAGTAACTCTACTGCCGTCGACGCCGCGATCGATGCCAAGCCTGGTCTAGTCACCGTACACATCTGGTCGAGCGTTCGATCGGTCAGGGACTGCACACCCACGCATCAGCACCGATTATGCGCGTCGTCCAAGAACGAAGGGAGCTTACGTCTGCTGGGGCGACGATATCATTGCAATAGTAGCACCCAAGCCTTGTCCCGCCCGCAGTTGCTGAAGATGCACGCGCGCCATGGCGCATGACGAGGAATGTGTCGAATCCGAGCGCTGCGTTCATCACGATCTATGATGTTCGTGGCGTCAAGTTCGTCAACGGGCGTCCTCGCCCTCAACAGACACTCCGATACACACCTTGCCCTTCGCCGCCCCGAGTAGAGTGGGAAGCCATCTGCTCTCGCGCGAGTCCATGAGGAGGAACACGGCATCGTGCTCGTCGATCAGCTTTTCGAGCGTCTGTACGTCCTTCCGCGTCTGCTCAGTCGAGCCTGAAGGTATTGGGTGTCCGGGCATGGGTATACTGAGGTTATGTCCCGTGGAGTTCTGTGCGCGCATGCGCGTGCATCAGTCAAGATAGCTCTGGTCGTCAAGGACATGAACACGACTCACCACGCCAGGGAATATCTTCTTCAGCCTATCCGCAGCGCACGCGGCCTTAGGCTTGCCGCCGTGTAGACAATCCTCAAATTCGAAGAGCGGCTGGCGCACGGGATTCGAGAACGACACGCGCGCCGAATCGACAAACGTGATCGTGCGCACACCCCATCCCTACTCTCTGTCATGACACATCCACCATACCAAGCCAAGGAAGGAACGCACCATTAGTGTCCGAGCGACGTAGCAACCCAGCGTGCCCGCGCCGAGCAGGAGGCACCTTGTATTAGCGACCTTCTCCAGGTCAAGCGCAGGCAGAATGCGCCACCGCATGAGCTTCAGATTCAGATCGACCGCCTGATTCGCGAGTCTGCACGCCGCATGCCGTCAGCGACCAACGCCCCATCCTCCTCGCATCTACGCAACACCGCACGAGACACGCACCTTGTCGGGTCCATCATCGGTGCCAGGTCTGCCATGCGTGGACCTAATTTACCCTGTACGTTCTTCTCCCAACCCACCGCCGCCGGCTTAGTCGTTTCTGCATCTTTCGCCAGCTCGCCGGTGCCCTGATGCACGACGCCGAAGCGGCTCTTCCATGCGCCGCTCACTGGGAGCTCTGCGTCGCGCCAGCAGAGCACTCGATACGTGTATGCAGGGTGCACTGTTCGCAAGAACGCAAGGAGGTTGCGCAAAGGCCAGCCGGGGTTCGTCGAGAGCGCGGAGGGATCAAGGAACGCAATAGTACGCTAAAGTAGGGTGGGTGAGTGAGGGCGTAAAGGCGGAGAGACGGCGTGAAGGACACCTGTTCGGGCGAAACATTAGCGAAGAACTCGTCGTATTGCTCTAGGGACGCAATTTCCGGCACGCCGCATTTCTGCGAGGGGCGAATGAGAAAGAAAGGCGTGGGGGATGTTTGAACGTGGCTCTGGATAGTGGATAACTGATTGCAAGTGGATGAGTGACAGTTGCGGGGAGTTGAATGACAGCACTCACTGTGTCGTCATCGAATTCCTCCCCTGCCGGCTTCCACTCCCCGTCAATCTCCCATGCGGGCTTGGCGACAAATGCTGGGAACGCAAACCAATAGTAGTATTTGTATTTCTTGAGATCAGCGAAGGTAATGAGCAGGAAGCGAGTTAGGAGCGCAGTTGAGCGGTCGACGACGATACTGTTCCAGATCTATGATATGCAAATTTAGTAAGGTGCAAGAGGAGTCGAATCCTAATCTCATTCCCAGACTGCCCCTTTGTTAGTATATGTGGCGAGAGTTGGGGCATTTCTTGTGTCCAGACTCAATGCTAAACAGTCGTCGTTGTATGCAGGTGTCGACGTAGATGGACTTCAAAATATGGATCATGGTTGAAATAGGAGCATGGAGTAGTCGAATAGTGGAAGATATCTTGGCAAAGATCTTCTGCACGAACGACAGCATACACGAAAAGGGTGAATGCGATATTACGCGTGGATGTCCCGGTCAATAGCACATCAAAGATACCTCCATAGTTTTCCAGTGATCATATGAAGGGCATAAGTGTTGTGTGCTCTCATACTCTAGAGGGAAACGGAAAATCCTGTAGCACACTACTCACATACACAGTACATCTTACTGTTGTTTTGGGATAGTATAAAAGTTTTGAAGATACTGTCCTTTCGTCGCGTTTGCGGGACGATCGAGTCTCACTTTCATGGTGATACAACTCTCATCCGCTCATTCAGGCATGAAAGGCAGTCTGGGTATGAGGCCGACGCTTAGGGCAAAACACTCACTTCATCTGCAATCGAATTGAAAAGCGCAGTTTTATCTGCGGCCTTGAACTCTTCGATTGTATTGAAATTCTTGAATACGCCTGTTACAGGCACAGAGTGCGATGGAGCCCTGCACGATCGCTGTTCTCATGACCTCGGATCACAAGAGTATAGCGCCACTTACTGAACCGCTGTCTGAAAAGCCTCACCGCCGACGCTCAAGTTGCACCCGAGAGCAATTTCGGTCCCGGTCTCTCTGTCCTTCACTGATCTACCAGAAGAGTACGAACCAGAAACTGGGATAGCTTCGTCGGACAGACGGAGGACATCGATCTTGAGGTCCGTGAGAGCATGCCAGAACGCAGGCTGCACCAGCGACGAGAATGGCGCAAACTGCACGATCGGCATGTCGGTTGCACCTCGCTAGAGTTAGCTAAGAATCCAGCTGTGTAGTTACAAGAACAAGCGTAAGAGCAGAAGCTTGAACAGGAACCTGAAAGAGGCGAGAGGAAGTCCAAGAAGGACTTAGGAAAAGTGCCACTGCCCTAGTTGTTTGTATCACGTGCTCATTCCGCTAACTGAGTGTTGACTTCAATTAAGCTCGCGCCTAATGAACTTCAACCTGATTTTAATCGACTTACATCATCTGGTAGTAGTCTCTCCGGTACTGTCTTCTCATTGCAGCCCGAAATTTGATATGAGGTCCCAATTCTATTACTCAAAGAAGTGATGTTCTTGCAACTGAGTGTGCAGTGAGTTGAGGTTGAACTAGTATGAGTTTATTCTAGTAGGTGAGCTAGAATCTATCATTATGTGGCCACAATCAGATACTGAAGACACTGAAATATGCATAGCTTGACATTCAGTGTGATGCCTGAGGCCTTGGGTCTTACTGGTCATGTACTGTATGCCTCCAGTTATGAAACTTATTAGTGGCACAGCACTCTACATCATGGTGATTTCCCATTCAAGTTCCCATGCATGTGTATACATAGTAGTTGCTAATGCCTCAGGATCCATATGTGAATAGAGGCTGGTGATCAAAATGATGGGTATGACTGTCACTATGATTTTTACTTACCTCAATTGTCAACATAACATTTGCTGTAATCAGATGCAGGGAGATCTGTATATAATGCTGTGTGTGACATCACAGATTCTAGCTCATAGCATATCTGAGTGTTAAGGGACCTGGAATGATGGAGAATCAGGAGTTCCACTTGAACTTGACTAGGCATCCTGAGGCTTCATGATACTTAAGTCCTATAGGACTTATACTGAGGGTTTGTCCAACTAAGGCTGAGCTTCCCTAACTGGGGAAGTTAAAGAGCACACACTGACTGAAGTAGATAATAGACAACTGGGTCTATATTGCAAAGATGTCCCTATACTGTAGATAAGATGATGGAGGTGAAATACTGAGATGAATCAGTGATGAATGACAACAATTAGATATGAGAGAAACATATAGAATGCATCAGAAAAAGATCAGCCAGGAATAGATTGTACAAGGTCTAGAGCAGATGAGCAAGATGAAAGGAGAAACCCCCCTGCCCAATATTGGAAGAGGTAGACCAGTCATTGTTTGTTTGTTTGTGAATCTTGTTTATTGTCCTTGAGGGCAAGGCCCTATGTAGACAGTAGGTACAGTAGTTTGACAGTCAGAGTGTTGTGGCTAGCAGTATTGGAATAGAGACATTAGCTAGCTGGATAGCTAGCTGGGTACCACATCATAAGTTAAGGTTCATGAGAGGCAGGAGTGCAGGAGTGCAGGGATGTTATGTACCAGTAGGTATGTGGTAGACTCACTGATGGTAGCCCTGGCAGTTGAGTGCTAGAGGTGGGGATCTAAACCCTTGTAAGGGAATCCGGCCAGTGGTTCTCCACCAGCTGTCAAAACTCCCCCCACCTCTGGGTAGAGTCTGTTAAGGGACTTAATGACTGAGGATCAAGAGTTCAACTGGTTAACTGTTACTAGGACTTATACACGCTATAGTCCTACACTGATACTAGAGTTGTAAACTGAGCCGCTATAGCTGATAGCAGTTTGAGGGTGTTGATAGGCCCGTGTAGCGCATGGGCATGCCTCAAGTTGTACTCAACATTCGAAGCCCTCAAAGCTTCTGCCTTCGGGGATGACTGCGATACCTTGACACAAAAATGCCTTTGAGCAAAGCCCACCCTTCATCATCTTCAAAGTTTCACGATCTCATGACAATCCAATCGGGATCTTCCAGTGGGAGGTTTATTCCGGGGGCTTGACTTCAAAGACAAAACCCCATCATCCGGAGATTGAGACATACAATACAGGGCCAACAGGTAAACCTTTAAGTTGATGCGCTTGGGTCACAACGCCAAGACTTGCAATGGTCGGGCCTCCGAGACTAGCAGGAATAGCGCGTTGGATGGGAATTGGAAACTGATGGAGATGTCAGGCGGGAGTAAGAAGGATATTGGGATTGTTCGGTGCAGTCAGGGCAGTGGAGGTGGTGACTCAGGAGGTTTGGCAGGATGAGGGATA